TCCAAGTGAAAAGATGATGCAGTAGGCTAGTCTCTTGAGACTGTGCGGAAGACACAGCAAACCTTCTGGCAATGGCACGTATTGATGTGCCATCCTGGAGGAGTTGGACTGCCTATAACCTATGTAGGGTGCAGGTATCGCCTCATGCTACCAGTAGTGACACTGACCCTAGCCAAATGCAAAACTAGTGAAAAACAGTCAGAAAAGATTAGTAGGGAAAAAAATGTCAGTGGCCTTCACCTGTAAAACCATTCCTGTTTCGGGGGTTGTGTCATTGTTGCCCATCTAGTGCACCTGTTAATTTAATTAACACCAAAGCAGCTGAAATCCGATTAACAATCCCCTCTGCTACTTAACTGACCAGATCAATATCCTAGGAGTTTAATTAACTTGATGCTATACTCGGATTACAAAGCGTTCCTTTAATTTTTTTGAGCAGTGTATAATGAATCCCTCCATGATAAAATAATAGTGAGATGAAAACACTTATCCTTGGACACCTAAAGATTTGTTAGCTTATGTGTTACAATGATTCTGTTTCCACTGTATTTTTGATCATAGTCATTCCCGATATATTTAAAAAAAAAAAAAAAAAAAAAAAAAAAGAACAAACAAAAAGAAATAAATAAAAACACCACACACCAAGAAGAGGGAACCATATACACTTGTCTGGAAAAGTATTAGGAACACTATACTAATACTGGGTAAGGCCTCTCTGTTCTCTCAACATAGCTTCAATACTTTGTGGCAGAGAACCCACATACATTTTTTTTTAAGATCATTGTTCATGTAGACTTGATTGTATCAAGAAATTTTGGCATTTGTCTCTCTAACTGAAAGTCTCTACCTCTGTATGGAAAGGGAGCTGGAGGAAGGGTCTGCAAGAGCCTGGATCACATGTGCAATGCTTTAATGACTGCTTTGAACAAAAAAAAAAAATATTATATATATATATATAATATAAATAGATATAGAGAGATTTTTTTATTATAAATTATGATTATTAATAATAATAATGTTTTTTTCTGTAAATATATGTGAAATTATTTTTTTCTGTAAAAAGTTAACTTGACCTTTAAAGGTTCCCTTGTCCAGAAACGTATACTTGCCTTTTTTTTCCACTCCCGACGCATCATTCAGCAACCAGGAGCAAGGATGGAAAGCCCTGTGTAAGTTCAAATCAGATTCACAAACAAAGCTTATGCAGGGCTTGTTGTCTTTCCGCCCATCCATGTCACAGCACTGGGCCAATCACCAATGTGGTCAGAAGAAGCTAGTCACATGTTTCTCTGTACCTGAATGTAACAAGTATTTTCTTTGCTCCCAGTAGATGAATGGAGCAACAAATGGGTAAAGGAAAAGTATGTTCTGTTGGCAGACAAGCCTCAGTCGTTTTGTGGAAGAAAAATTAGGACCATTTGTTACCAGATGGAGACACTATCCACTTACTGCAAAACCTGAAGGGCGCACAAGGGCCGACTGTGCGCTTCATGGCCAGCCCTGAATCTTTCAGCAGACTTTAAGAGGGAATTCGGAGGGCTCTTGGTCGCTTCTCCCCCCCCTTTGGGGCAGCTCCCATTGTACTGACCTTTGCCAGTCTGCTGGAGCATGCGCAGGTGGGGTGCTGACATGTGACGTCATCCCGCCCTAGTGGGCAGGGTGGGGTCACGCGTGGATGCCTCGGGGGTTGCCATGACTATGGAACCACGCATGCGCACTGCGTGGTACTTACTGCGCATGCGTCTCAACGCCATATTTAAAACCTCAAGTCAAGGACAAATGGCTAGACTTCTCCGCACTCAGGCTGTTTTATTACGGCAGGCTTTTTATGTAATTTAGGATACAGATGAGAATTGGCTGCCCCATACTCTAAGAATTTTGTATTATCTGCCATTTAGTATGTACTATGGAAAAATAATGAGAGAGTCTTTGTTTTGCATAATGATTTATCAACTTTACCACGGAGTGTCTTTAGTGCTGTACTGTACACTTAGATACTACTGCTTTTATAGCCCTTATAATAACATAGTTAGTGATAGGAATCCCCATATATACTCATGTCCAGGCCAATTGGCACACTTTCTTCATAATGAGATCTGTGCTGCCTGGTTGGAACAAAGTGTAGATATTTGGCAGCAGTTGTAGTATGCACTTTAATGTAATTTTGATTTGTGGCTTATTATTTTAACGTAAGAAGCCTATACCCTCTTGTCTAGATATGAACCTCTATCTATTGATATCTACTCATACTATTTTTCTATTCATATATATTTTTGACTAATAATGCACATGGTCTAGTAAATGTATATTTTTTTCTCGACTATATAGCCTTATACCTGGTTCCATTGTCTGAGTGACCCCAGTGTGAGACATTTCTGGGGGTCCTCCATTCTCCCCCTAAACTGTTTTTCCATTTAGCCTTGGATACATCAAGGTGTTGATGGTGAACACATTAACAGGAGACCATTCTGCTTTTGTAATTGTGGAGAGCAAATCCGTGTAAAGAAGTTGGATGGTATGCAATGCGGATACATGTTTCTAATTCTGTTGCGTCTAATGATATAATTATAGATTCTGATCGATATCCACTGTATTCTATAGAATGTCTTTTGACCATCCCCCCTCTTCAGTTTACCCCTGAGGAAAGAGTTCTGAGTCTCTAGCTGAAGTCTACTTGCCTTTTTTCCCTCTCTTGGTCTACATAAGAGGGAGAACAATACATTATATCTTACAGCAAGCTAACATGCTCTTTTGCAATTATCTTTATGTGTGATTTTAAAGTTTGCACAATGTCTTAATTCAATGATGTTTTAAATCTTTGTAAAAAAAATCATTCATGTGTTTATACAATGTTGTTGATGTTGCCTTAAAAGTCCCAGTACATTCTAAAAGGGAACATATTTTTGGTACTCTAACGTTTGGGATGTTGGCAACCAGATGATGAACCCTGTGTTGGACCCGCCTATTCCAGTAGATGAATGGAGGAACAAAAGGGTAAAGGAAAAGTAGGTTCTGTTGGCAGACAAATCTCTTAAGTGAACCTCAAACAAAGAAAAGTGCTACAAAACTTCATATGACAATTCCTAGATGAAGTATAGGTCTCAACGTGGCAGTCATGCAGTCTCATCCGCTGCACCTGCAAATCTCAATCACGAAATGTCGCCAACCAGGTGAGGATTAAAATGCTAATATCTTTATTTCAAATACAGAGTAAAAATGTTTCAAGTGACAAGCAACACTAACGTGTTTCAGTCAGACAAGACCTTAGTCATAGTTCTATACTAGTGGTGCACCTAAATGAAAAATCTGCTGCCAAAACTGAAACATCTGCGTATGTGGGGAGGCTCAAATTTTTTTCTTTTTTTTAACTTTTAACGTTTGTTTTTATTTATTTTTTTAACTTAAGAATTTATTGCTATCACAGAGGACTAATAGTCCCCTACGTGAAAGCATATAATTGACAGGTCCTGTGTGTGTGCGCGCAAGTAGGGGATAGGAGAGGAGCAGTGTATACAGTGAGGGAGCAGTGTATACAGACAGGATCCCTCACTTAAATTAGTCCAAAAAAGAATCTTCCCTCTTTTAACAAATAGTCTACCTATATATAAAACAGCAAGACCTTCCCCATATAATTATATACGCAAACTGACAAAAAATCATAAAAGTCCAGTGTCTCAATAATCAATAAAAAAATGTAGAACTTGAAAAGATATTTCTTGCAGTGTTGATTGTGTTCAATGATTTTTGTGAAAAACCTCAAAAATAAAGAAACTCAAAATAGTGCATTAACATAACACAAACAAAGAAAGAAAAGAAAAGAGAGAAAAAAAAAAAAAATATATATAATTTTTTTTTTTTTTTTTTCTTCTCTCTTTTCTTTCTTTGTTTGTGTTATGTTAATGCACTATTTTGAGTTTCTTTATTTTTGAGGTTTTTCACAAAAATCATTGAACACAATCAACACTGCAAGAAATATCTTTTCAAGTTCTACATTTTTTTATTGATTATCGAGACACTGGACTTTTATGATTTTTTTTTGTCAGTTTGCGTATATAATTATATAGGGAAGGTCTTGCTGTTTTATATATAGGTAGACTATTTGTTAAAAGAGGGAAGATTCTTTTTTGGACTAATTTATTTGATTTTAAACTTTCAGGGGTTGAAAGTTTTTTCTAATTTGGAATTAGTGTAGGTTTAAGGGTTTTTTGACTTGATATCATATTCACATTGCATTTATAAGGATCCCTCACTTGCCGCTGCTAATATGTAATTGCCAGTTTTTAAATGCAGTTACTTTTTTTTTTTCCCTTTACTATAGCTCTGAGAAGGAGCTGTCATTTGCCCCGCCGCTAAAGTAAACAGGGGTGGGGTCGCTGGGTAATGTCATTTGGTGACCCCGCCCCTTTGTTTACTTTACTGGCAGGGCGAATGGCACAGTGAAAGGGAAAAAAAAAGCCAGCAATTACATGTAAAAAAAACGGCAAAGACATTTAGCAACTGCAAGCAAGGCAGCCTGTCTGTATACACTGCTCCCTCACTGTTACCTTCTCTCCTGCCTTTCTCCACCACCCCCCATCTACAGTACACAGAGCCCCCAAAAAACCCCGGCCAAAACAGTCAGTCTGCCCCTCACTGGGGCCAGGCCTCTAATTATCAGCACCTGTATCAGCTCAATGTTTCCTTTTGTCAAAATGCTGACAGTTCTATTTCAGCAGATATGTTTCAGCCACCGAAATGTCGGCACATCCCTATTCTATACTATGACTAAGGTCTTGTTTGACTGAAACGCATTAGTGCTGATGTCACTTGGAACATACTCTGCATTTAAAATAAAGACATTAGCATTTTAATCCTCACCTTGTTGCCGACCTTTTTTGATTGAGATTCTTAAGTGAACCTGTTGTCCACATGCTTACTTAAAAAATTAATCACCTTATGTAAATTCTACTGTGATCAAATGGGTAGATTTGTCGATTTTTTTAAGAAAGCAGCTGCTGTACCTGATTTTGTGGTGTCGCACCGGCATTTCCCGTGGATGGCCTGACTTTAGAAGTCTTGGTTAAGGCTTTTTTCTGCTGGAGAGCCATGGTATATTTACTGACAGCATTGCGATACTCCTTGTCGTGGAAGAGGGAATCTGCATGGTATACTAATAACTGGTACTTCTGTGAAGGTGAAAACATCTCCCTAAGTAGGAAGTAATAAAATTAGAAAATGAAAAATGTTTACCCTACAGATGGCATGACAGTAAATTCATGAGGCTCAGTCAATCTACAGACCCCTTTAAATGACCAATTTACCCAGTAAAACAGCAACACAGAAATTATTTTTTTGCCCTGTGCCCTGATTTCAACTGTTCTACCCTCCGCCTTACTTACCAGGATCTGACGCCCCGCAGCCTTCGGGACTCTTTACACCCCCACAAGACTCCCTCTGCTTGCCAAAATTGTGCATTACAGCCGCATAGACTTCTATGGGGCCGTCAACCTACCCGGGAGATGGACTTGGTTGAGAAAAGCAAAGAGGACTTGCATTGTGGGATGTAGACAACCCCCACAGGTCATGGTTGTCAGATCTCAGTAAGTATGGATCAGTGGAAGGGGATGGCAGGATGGTTTAGGTGAGGTCATAAAAAAAGAAGTGCACTCTGCCTGAAAGTGTGCCAATTCTAAAATGAGTTACGTGTGTGGATATTTGTGATGGGTGGGTTACTGACTCTCATTAGAAGTGCAGAAGCTACTTAGAAGAGTGGTAAAATGTCATCATCATTACAAAACAAGTCCAAGTGAATGTGACATATTCTATACACCGATCAGCCAGAACTTTATGGCCACAGTTCCCCGCAGTTTGCTCAGTTCCCCCTTTTTGCCACCAAAAACAGCCCTGATCCATTGAGGAATGAACTCCACAAGAACTCTGAATGTAAGCCGTGGTATGGGGCACCAAGTCGTCAGTAGCAGATCCTTTAAAGGAGAAGTATGGCCAAAGCTCTTTTGTCCATATTTCTCTTGTGGGTCACAGTACACTCAGTTCTGCACTTGTGACCCACATTCAAATTCTAAAGCCAGTTGCTGGCTGATGTCACAGAGCCGGTCCAGGCTCTGTGGGGATAATGACAATAATGTCAGGATCCACCCATATGCCTGACCAGCAGCTGGCTCAACCTCTCACCGAGCTATCAGTCATTGCTGACTATCAGTGATTGCTCTGCCCCTCACTGGAGCTGTGCTGGCTGTAGAGTGGGCGGGTGCGCCGCTGAGAGGCTGAGCCAGATGCTCCCACCCACTCCACAGCCTAATGCTCCAGTGAGGGGCAGAGCACAGAGCAATGACTGATAGTCAATAGTTTGGCTCAGTGCAGACCAGAGACCTTAGCAGTCTTAAATTGCTCAGTTCTGTGTGTAGAGATGGGGGTACAGTACACATACAGCGCAGAGTCTATGATGCATCCACCTAGATGAGTATAAATGCTTTTTTGGTTTTTTTTTCTTCTTTTTTTTTAAATCCCACACTTCTCTTTTAAAGGCCAAGTTCACCTTTAGGAGCACGTTACACCCTAAATACGGGTGTTACATGCTTCTACGTACCCACCTTCCACCGCCAATGCTCCCCACTTTGTGAAAGTGGGCTGGAGGCTTTGCCTGCACTTGCTATCACATTTTAAAAAAAGAGTGGCCAATATGAGGCCCTGTCCATGCAGCTGGGTCATTCATCCACAGTCTTCTATGAATGAGCAGATTACAAGTACAGTTCACCTGTAAACAAATGTGTCATCTGTCTCCGCCCCCCCCCCCTTCGCTGCCACATCTGGAACCTTTTGGGGGGGGGGGGGGGGGGTACCTGGTCCTGATGGGCACCCGCTCACACTACCGGCTTAATGTGCCACGGCCCTCCCTCCTTCCCCCGAAGCCCTCTGGGACACTTCACAGGTCTCAGAAGACTGCGGCCCATTCACAAAGCCCAGCATGCTTTGTGCATGTGCAGTAGAAGACTAGGTTTCCCCTAGTCAAGATGGCAGCGCCAGCACCCGAAAGCTGACTGAAGAATCCACTCAGTGGGAGGACACCGCTGGATCCCTGGACAGGTAAGTGCCCTAATATGAAAAGTGAGCAGCTACAGTATTTGTTTTTCGGTGCAGGGGGCGAACCGCCGCTTTATGTCCTGCACGTTTGTAAGGTGGGGCCTCCAAGGATCGGACTTGTTCTTCCAGCACATCCCACAGATGCTTGACGGCCTGAGATCTGATGAATCAGAAGGCCAATTCAACACCTCAAACCACTGAATAGCAGGACCCAAGGTTTCCCAGCAGAATATTGCCCACAGCATCACACTGCTTCCACCAGCTTGCCTTCTCATAGTTCTCATTCACATGATGTAAAAGAAAAGCGATTCATCAAATCACACCACCTTCTTCCATTCCATGGTCTAGTTGTGATGCTCATTTTGGATATGGGTACCCTGACTGGTCTGCGCCTACACAGCCCCATACACAACAAACTGTGGTAACCATTTTTTTCAGCTTCAGGGACAACATGTTCACTTGCGTCCTAATATATCCCACCCACTTTCAGATACCATTGTAATGAAATAATCAATGTTATTCATGTTACGTGCCAGTGGTCATAAAGTTATGGCTGATCGGTGGAATGTAGAATGGGGCCACCCTGACTATCACACCCCCATATTGGACTTCCTGATGGAGTTTTGTTGTCATTTAATGGACATGATGAAAGACAAAGCAGACAGCATGGCTCCTCCTCCAGAGGGTGGGCACTCCTATAGCAGAGACTGTGGGTGACCCTCTGATAATGTGTACTAGAAGGTGCCCCCCTTTACCCCAGGCATTCCCCCCCCCCCCATGACAGCCATCTGTGTAGGACTCACGGGTTGTTGTTGCTCATGGTCAGTAGCAGGCTGCTCAGTAGGCGCACATTGGAGTGGAGGCCAGCAGCGGCCATGTCCCGTACATGATCGATGACACTCATGTTGTACACAGCAGATCTGCAGCCAATAACACACACACACGGCTCCCGTACTATTCGCATTAAATCATGGCGCTTGCTGGTGACTTCACCAAACCCAGCACTGAGCTGCCCGTGGCGCGCCTGATCCAACCCTATACACTGGCTGTCGAACAGCCAGTCACATGTTCCTCCGTAGCCGGAAGTAGCCTCAGACCAGTAGCCAGAACGGTTTTTGGTGACTAGTCGCTTCACGACAGGCGCTCTGGGGCACCTGCAATGAAAACGTCACGTGAAACAGTGTCCTGCAGCTCAGCTGTGCGTTCCAAAGAAAAGGCGGGGCTTGTGCGTTTCACAGGGCAGCGAAGCCTATAAGGGCGGAAGTGTTACGAGGCGGAGAGCTGAGAAAGGGAAGCGGTATCTGGACATTATGGCAGAGCAAGCCGGCCTTCTGCTCAGGAAGCAGCTAGCAGGTAATGGGGAGGGTGTCCCTTTGTTCTCGGTACATAGACTATTGTCTGGAGGGGACGCGTACACCTCGTCTGGCTGCTGGAGGAGTTTCGCAATCCCTATGCCACGCCGCATTCACGAGACCTCGGTATTTGTTCTCCGTGTGATGTCTGCCTCTCTGTGGCCGCACACATGTCTGAGGGGGCTCCTGATAACTACTCCCAGGAAGCTCTGTACAGGCCGACTGGCTCTACTTCACCCGCACATGTCGGCTGGGATTTAAGTAAAACTAAAGGCTTGTGTTGGGTAACATAAAGGACAATTGTAGGTGGTAACAGTCTCATTGTGGAGATTTCCCTTTACTTCCTGTCCCACAGCCAAAACCGGAAGTGAGAGAAAATCCCTCCAAAGTGAGGACATTTCTGGTAGGTATGGTTGGAAGATTTGCCCTCTTCCTGTTCTAGTGACACCCTCAAAGCTGGGTTTTTCTTTTCACTCTTGGGGATATGGGGCATCAGGACAAATCTTCCCCCTAATAGGGCACATGCAGCAATCACAGCCTCACAATTCCCTGGAATCACCTGGTGCCTGTTTACATCAGCTTCAACATGTGGCATTGGACACACATTTTTGAAACCTCAATGCCAATCAAAGCTCTTTACACAAAAACAAGAAAAAAAGCCTACAGTACTGTTCACACGGTTTGCTTTGCTTCCAAAATGATACCCCATCTGACAAAGCTTGCTAACAGCACCTGCAGTGTTTGAGGCTTTTATTCAGGTTTAGCTTTGTTTTGGAGGTATTGCAGGTATGAGATATCCCAGGATGCACTGGGGAACCAACAAGCAAACTGGGAAGACATCATCAGTCACTTCCCATTAATGTGTGTATATATTCTGGAAGTGTCAGGTGTAGATGTCACCTCTGGTGTACCGTGAGGAGCAGCAAGAAGGTGAGCGGGGACTGGAGTGGAGCAACTAGCAGATGGCACGCATGGTGTACAACATGGGAATGCTATAGTGAAAGGTGAGCAGGGACCGGAGAGAGAGGACTGAGCAGTAGAGGATCAGCAGAGCTGGGGGAGCAGAGCAGGAGAAACTAGCAATGTCACACAAGGTGCACAACATGGGAGCATTATAGCGGGTGCTGAGCAGTGACCAGAGAGGAGGAACAGCAAAGCTGGAGATGCCAATGAGCTGGGGGTCAGCGGGGCTGGAGATGCCAATGAGCTGGGGGTCAGCGGGGCTGGAGATGCCAATGAGCTGGGGGTCAGCGGGGCTGGAGATGCCAATGAGCTGGGGGTCAGCGGGGCTGGAGATGCCAATGAGCTGGGGGTCAGCGGGGCTGGAGATGCCAATGAGCTGGGGGTCAGCGGGGCTGGAGATGCCAATGAGCTGGGGGTCAGCGGGGCTGGAGATGCCAATGAGCTGGGGGTCAGCGGGGCTGGAGATGCCAATGAGCTGGGGGTCAGCCCGGGCTGGAGATGCCAATGAGCTGGGGGTCAGCCCGGGCTGGAGATGCCAATGAGCTGGGGGTCAGCCCGGGCTGGAGATGCCAATGAGCTGGGGGTCAGCCCGGGCTGGAGATGCCAATGAGCTGGGGGTCAGCCCGGGCTGGGATGCCAATGATGCCAATGAGCCAATGGGGGTCAGCCCGGGCTGGAGATGCCAATGAGCTGGGGGTCAGCCCGGGCTGGAGATGCCAATGAGCTGGGGGTCAGCCCGGGCTGGAGATGCCAATGAGCTCAGGGGGTGCCAATGAGCTGGGGGTCAGCCCGGGCTGGAGATGCCAATGAGCTGGGGGTCAGCCCGGGCTGGAGATGCCAATGAGCTGGGGGTCAGCCCGGGCTGGAGATGCCAATGAGCTGGGGGTTAGCGGGCTGGAGATGCCTATGAGCTGGCACTCTGCTGGACCCCTTTAAAACAAATCAACACACAGAGTGCATAGCTTCAAAACACCACGGAAGCATGTTGAAGCAGTAGGCACTTCAATGTAAAAGTTAAAGCAAGTGTAAGTGAGCCACTATAGTGCCGCTCAAGGTGCTTTGCTGGTAATGAATCTGGTGTCTCCCAGCCATGTAGAGGTGCAGGCTGTCTTGTACTTGATCCAGAAAGTAGTGAAGATGAGGGAATGACACTGCACACCACTAGCTCAATAGCAGGAGAGGAATGAGACTGTCCTCAGCCTTGAGTGCCTTTTAAGCCATGCCCCTAGTGCATTTTGCTTTGCCCCAGTGGGTGAAAGGCATCATGATCGTGACGGCTCAGAATTTGCTCAAGGTTGGGGCCATTCTTCTTCCTCCCCACCTGTTGAGCTAGTAGTGTCTCACCCCTCATGCTGTCACAGCCTGTTGGGTGTTCTAATCCCTCTCCAAAAAAGTTTTGGCTTTGGTGATTCTTTAACCACTTGGCAACCGCGCTATAGCCGAGTGACGGCTACAGCATGGTTGTCCAGTTCTCGAAGGGCATCATGATGACCTCCCAGACCGTTCCCTCCCAGCGGCCCACACCCGGCAATCTCCAGCAGCCTTTTACCAGGTGATCTGCTGTGTCCAATGACACAGCAGATCACCGGATAAATGCAGTTGCCGGTTATTGACTTATCAGGGCACTGATGACCTGTGCCCCCCCACCCCCCCCCCCCCCCCCCCCCAGTCAGCGCCGCCTATCAGTGCCCATCAGTGAAGCCTCATCAATGTACATCAGTGAAGGAGAAAAATTACCTGTTTGCAAAATTTTATAATAGAAACAACTTTTTTTTTTTTACTAATTTTTTGCGCTTTTTTCTATTTGTAGCGCAAACAATAAACCACCCAGTGGCGATTAAATACCACCAAAAGCTCTATTTGCGTGAAAAAAAACAATTTCATATGGGTACAGTGCTGTATGACTGCACAATTGTAATTCAAAGTGCGACAGTGCTGAAAATTGGCCTGGGCAGGAAGGGGGTAGAAGTGCCTAGAAGGCAAGTGGTTACAGTTCATCATCCATGTCACATAAGCTGACAGTATGAACTCCTCTTGAATAAGCTATTTAGAGCAGGCTCACAGTAGTGCCCACAGCTAATACTTGACAAGTTACAGGCTTTGGATCGACAGTGACAGTGATGTTAGCCATGCCTTTTAAGACCTTCTCATCTTGCCATATCTGGACCAGGCATCACTAACACAATTGACAAATCTGCTCTGGATTCAGGAGCAGTGCAGCATCATTGCCACAGCATCACATGAAGCTGCTTTAGGTGACTTCAATGGTGGAATCTACAGGTATTTGTGGGACTTTAGCAGGGGGATTAAGAAAAACTTAGGTGCACTGGGCAGGGCTGACAACAGGAAGTCAGGAGTACTGATGTTTTGGCAGATCAACAGAAGATGTTAAGAGGGAATATGATTGCAATATACAAATCTTTGGTGATTAGAATTGGGAGGAAACTGCTAAAGGATAAGTTCACCTTTACACCAAAAATAAATGCAAATTTTTTTGCAGGTAAAAGTGCATTTATTTTGTTAGGAGCCTTTAAATCATTTCACAAGCGATCAGCAGATTGCTGATGCCATGCAGGTCTCCTGCAGACTATAAATGTATCTCCTTGCTTGTATGATACGTCTAATAGGAAGAATCCATGAACTACCACAGCACTGTGGTGTTCATTGAGGATTACAAGCTGACGGCTGCTAAGTCTGTTGGGACCTGTAGTAAATTCATTCAGAGGATTGTGAATGAATGATGCGGCTGAGTGGTCGTGCTGTTTTTGAAAAGTGACAACTAGTATGAGGAACTTCTCCCCTTCTGTCATAGGGATGAGGTGGGGGGCGGGGGGGGCAGCATGCATCTGGTGCAGGATCAGGAACACGTTACGTGTTCCACCTTAAAAATGGGTGGCACATGTAACGTTCCCAAAGGTGAACTTATCCTTTAAAGGCAAATTTGTCTTTATTACATTTTTGCATTACATTTTACAGAACAAAACAAGGAATGACATTTACATACAAGTAAATATACAGAAATCACAAATGTGGAGATGATCCACGAGCATAAGTGCAAATAGTTCCATACAACAAAAGATAAAAGGATTAACAACATTTGTTATGGAGGTATACAGAAAGAGTATCCCTGGGTGAGACTTGGGGAGCAAAAAGAAATACCTCCATTTAACTCGGTATATAAACCTAATTAAGAAAAAAGATAAAGGAGTACAGAAAGAAAAGAGAAACCAGTTGTAGAGACAGTAAAGGACACGTGAGAGGGTTGGGAGGTGGGGACTGCAAGGAGCAGAGTCAAATGTCCACCACCAGGACCCCATTGGTGCGCCCCATTGGCCCGCAGCCAAGCATGGACGATAATGTCAAACTGTTGGTCATTGCAAAATGAATGGGAAGACAAGGCTCAACTCTATTATGACACAACAGGGGAGCACAATCCTCAGAGTCGAGGAGAAATGGAGCCAGACTGACCACAGTAACTTGTGTTTATCGGAGGTTTCATTGGCAAACGCCAACATTTCCACCATACGCAAGATATCATTAAGAGCAGAAACCCACATCGGAAGAGGTGGGGGGTAGTCGTTTTCCAAAAGAGGGATATCAATTGGCAAGCTGCAGATAGAAATGCAACAAACTTTTCTTCTGTGCTGCCAGTGAGTCCATTAATATGGAGAGGAGAGCAATCTCCAGTGAAGAGGTCAAGGACTCACCATAGATCCTGTTATATACATCAAAAACTTGATGCCAGAAGGGTTGTATCAAGTCACAATCCCACCAAATGTGGAGCTGTGTACCGACTGCTTCAGTACAGCGCCAGCAGAGATTGGATGTAGAAGGAAATATTTTGTGTAGGGAGAGGGTGTCCCTATACAATCGAGAAAGAAGCTTAAAGTTCTTTTCCTGTGAATAACCGGAAATAGACGATTTGAGTGAAATGGAACGACTTAGACCAGTCCTCAGCCAAAATGTCTCGAGCCCACACCCTAGTGAAGGGGGGGGGCAGTTTGGAGTGAAGAGAATTGTGCAGTTCTTTGTAGAAGGAAGCCAAGACATGTCTCGGTGGTTTCGAGTGGGAACACAACTGCTTAAACTCATAGTGAACGATGAATGTGAGGTAGAACGTGTCTGCAGAATGAGGATAATTGTAAAGTGGTCAGCCAGTCCCAAGGACCTCCGTGAAGTGGAATACCCGTCTGGAGGCAAATAAAATCCCGAGCTACGGGCCATGAGGCATGCAAATAGGGACAGATAGCAGAGGATCCCATCCCTTGCTTAAGAGCGGGGTTATCAAATAAGGATGATAGTGGTTAGGGATCAGAAGTGCAATTACACCTTGTTTATACTAAAGCCGTAGCACAGTGACAGCCAATGGGGACAGGCCTGGAGAAACGCTGAAAGTCGTCATAACCCCATGGAAGGGCTCCAAGATCAACCTGGGACAGATCTTGTTCTATCATAGAAGAGGCCTTACGGAAGGGTCTGGGAAACCAGTCAAGCATCCGGGCCAGTAATGCGGCTCTATAGTATAGCTCATTCAAGCAAACCCACCCCTCCCTCGAGTTTTGGATAAGTAACCTATACTTTAACCTTGAGAACCCTTGATGCCAAATAAATCTGATCGAAATAGAACGCAGAGAGAGAGAAACTCCTAGGTACAGAGATTGGCAGAGTCTGGAAAACATACAGTAACTTAGGCAAGTTATCCATCTTAATGGTGTTAATGCGTCCGAACCAGGGCAAAGCAGAAGCGCCCCACAAAGCCAAATCTTTACGTAAACGTGAAAGCAGGGGTAAATGAGGGAATATAAAGCATTAAGATCTGAGGAAATAAAGACCTCAAGATACGTAATGCCTTTGGTTGCAATTGAAAAGAGAAATTAGAGTGTAGGTTCGTCAACACATGGTCAGGTAAAGAGATATTCAAAGCCTCCGTTTTAGAGATATTGTTTAAAGTTACTGAATGAACCAAATCTGTGAAACTCGTGGAATCGACAAGGGAGTGAGAAGTGGCTGTCGTATGTAAACTAGAAGGTCATCTGCGTATAGAGCGTTTGTGATGTGAGGAGGGAGGTGCGGATGCCCAAGATCGAGTCGTTGGCTCTTATGGCGTTCGAGATATTCCATAACAAAACAAAAAGGGGAGAGAGGGGTAACCCTGTCTGGTCCCTTTTTGATATGGGGGGAAGGACAAAGAAACCACACTTTTCAGCAGGACAGACGGCGAAGGATGAGAATAGAGGGACATAATGTTAGCGAGGAACCGTGAATCCGGAACCGTGAATCCAGACCTATCTGCTATAGGGTAAGGCGTAGAAAGCACCAGTCAACGTGATCGAATGGTGATCTTATCCTTTTGAACTTATCCTTTTAAACCTAAGGTCTCCAAGGCTAGCCATAGAGGAGTCCAATTTTTTTTTTTTTTTTTTTTTTTTTTTTTTCCGTTCAACCGGTGGGTTGAAAGAAAAATGACTTTCTCTATCCACACATTTGATGTGGATGGGGGAATACTCCCTGCTGAGCCTTTGTATTCTGAGAGCAGACAGACTTCCCTACAGTCACAATACACTGTTTAGCTCTGCCTGGTATAGCTGGTGGTGCTGATTGAGCGGCAAAAAATCCAACAGGGAAGTTGTACAGAAGTCGATCAGTAGATCAACTTCTGTAAAATCACCCTGTCCATACGTGAATTGATATTCAGTCTTTCCCTGCTGAACCAGCCAAATTTAAAGCCATGGATGATTGGGTTAAAGAAAACATGTGACATCACAATGAAGTTGGATGAGAAGTGGTTCATTCTTGCTGTGTAAAGGGGTTCTTTACTGTGAAGAGTGTAGATATTAGTTCTAAAGGCTCAGGGTTTTTTATCTTAATGCATTCTCTGCATTAAGTTAAAAAAACTTGCTGTGCGACAGGTCCCCCCTCACCACCCTTATACTTGCCTGAGTCTGATCGCGATTTAGCACTGTGCATGAGCATGGCTCTCTCCCCCTCCTCACAGGGCAGATTGATGGCAGTGGGAGCCACTGGCTCCTCCTGTTAAATCGGTCATTTTTCGGGGATCTTCTTGATTCTTTTCTTCTCGTTTCTTTTCTATCTGTCATGCTGGAAAATGTACAAAAAACGGCAGTTTTTTGTAACGCATTGGTGGCAGCATCCATGGCAGCAATGACCGATATTTTTTTTTTTTATTTTTATCGGCCGATAAACGGCCTGTCTATGGCCAGCCTAATAAATAATTTAAACATTTTTTTTTTTTTTTTTTTAAAGCCCCGCGTCCCCATGCACAAAGGCGAACACTTGTGTCAGTCCTGTACACATGCAAACCACAATCTGCCCACACATGTGATGCATCACTTGAGAACGTCAGATCATGGCCATTAATTCTAGCACCAGACCTCTGTAGGTCTAAGGTGGTAATCTGTAAAGGCTGTTAAGTCTCCTATGGATATTAAAATGTTTGTTGCCACTGCACGGGTGTATGCAATTTTAAAGCATTTTGTTTGGTATCTGTTTACTCAGCATAACATCATTTGGGTTTAGTTTTTTGTTTTTTTGTTTTTTTTGCATTAAAATTCAAAAATATTTTTCAAAAAAGTTTGGGGTTCTAAGATTTTCTAGCAGTTTAAGCTCAACCCGTTATATTTTCCATCTTGGTAAAACTCATCAGGACAAGCAGATATTCATGAGCGACAAGTAGATTGGAATCCCAATTTAGTCCCTTGGACAAGTAGTTTTTTAATTTTCACACCCCTGGTAGTACCTTGACAGCTTGTCAGAATGGTTAGCTAAACATATTGTGATATTTCATTAAGCTACAAATGTTACTTGATAAGAGTACTTGGAAAGAACTGAGCTTCCAGTGTTGGCTTACCTGGGATCTTAATTTGAAGATCGAGATTTTTTTGTGATGAGAAGAATGCAGACAGTATTGCTATACCATCCTCTCTCCCTGGCCTCAATGAGCTTGCAATCTATAGCAGGGCTTGACAAATTTTTCTTTGAATCTAGGAGTCTGCTAAAGTTAGGAGCCATGTGCCTGTAATTGCATTTTCAGGGCTTCGGGGAAGTGGAATAGAACAGAAATAGGAACAGTAAAATTGACAGCCCCATATATTTAGCAAAGAGACAATACAATCCAGCAAAGTAACATTCCAGTCCAGCAAAGAGATTTTCCAAAAACCTCAGCTCACAGGTAAAGAAATTGTGCAGCAGCAGTGTAGCACCTACCCATTCAATGGGCAAGCTGGTCCACAAAAACCCTTCACTCTTCACTGCCACTGACCAAATAAACTCCGATCCCGGCTTAGTTATGCAAGATGTATTCTGTTTGACTGAACCGCACTCCACCACTGGTTACATGACCCCCGACACTCTGCCCACCTGCTGCCGGCTAAACAAAGGAAACTAGCAAGAGCGGGCAGCTCAGGACACCAGGCGCAGTCAAGGAGTGACAAGACAGGCTGATGCTAAGTGAGTGCACGGCACACTCAGGAATCGAGACAGCAGATGTGGAACAGTGAATGGGCTGACAAAAGCCCAGGTGCCAGGATGAAATGTCTAGTCGCCATGGCAACCTGGTGCCTGGGGATTTGTTGAGCCCTGATCTAAGGTCCCTAACTCACATTCATACATACACATGCCAGGGCCAATTTAGACAGGGGCAAATTAACTTGGCAGCATGTCTTTGGAGTGTGGGAGGAAACCCATGAAGGACAGGGAAAACACTCCTTCAAACTCTGTGCAGATAGTGCTGTTTGGATTTGAACAGACAACCCTAGTGCTGCTAGGTCAGCATGTTAACCACTTAGCCACTATGCCGCCTAATAAAATAAAAGGTCATCCTGACATCTACATAGATCTATAATTTAGCACTTTTAACATATTATTTTTTTTTTTCTTTCAGAACTGAATAAAAACCCAGTTGAAGGTTTTTCTGCAGGACTCATTGATGATGATGATATCTTTAAATGGGAAGTGCTTGTTATTGGGCCTCAAGACACATTATTGTAAGTCTTTGCATTTCTCAGCACTGTTCATGTTCCTGATTAAAGTGGTGTTTAACCCAAAAAACAGAAATGTATTAAATTGGAGCTCATCAATTCTTAGATGTGGTGGCTGCCTTTGCTTTTTAGGCGCTTCTTTATTTTGACCTTGTGATCTGGTCAGAAACTTTCTCAGTTTCTTTTAACAGACCAAGCTGACCAGACAAAGCAGGTAGAGGGCTGAGCCAAATCGTCTACACGGACAGTGGGGCTTACAGTGATCAGCTTTTTTTCATTTGTTTTATCTTTTTTATAAACCGCGAACAGTTTTTTTTGTTCCTTTTGGGAGAAAGTATTCTCTAAATTCAGCTTCAAGCCCATCTAAATCTGCTAGCCAAAAAAATCTTATGCCTGTTCCGTGTTTAATATTTTTCCAGCTGTGTATTGAGATGACACTGTAGTGTTGACTGCCAGTTTGGGAGGGTAGCAGCAGTAGGCTGAGCTGTGTGAAATACTTGTACACATAGCCAAATACAAAGATTGGTACATGAGGTTCCAGTTTATAGTTAGAAGATCTCAGATCAATTTAGCCTTTTTGGGGAAAATGGAAGAGTTAAAGTGATGCTAATGTTCAAAAAAACCAAGGTTTTCTTTACCTTAATGCACTCTATATAATCCCGGGGGGGGGGGGGGGGGGATATTGTCTTGTGTTTTTTGGGTGGGTGTTTGGTGTAATGTGTTTGTTTTTTGGAACAAGATATTTCCAAATGTATGTTGGGTTCATTGTGTTCTCTAAATGCATTTTCATACTATTTGAATACAGTGTTTAATTACCTGTTCACACATATTTTTTCAGTGAGGGTGGCTTCTTTAAAGCGTATCTTACATTTCCAAAGGACTATCCTTTGCGGCCTCCTAAAATGAAATTTATCACAGAAATCTGGCATCCGAATGGTAAGTATTGGTGCCGGACTCTTACTACTTTGTGGTAATACATTTACACTAAAAAATGATTAGTAATGTCATTGCAGAATGCCTAAACCCTTTCACTGCCACAAAAGTGTGGCATACATTGGTGGTACACAACCTCCCAACTGCTACAGCAGTCTTGTGTAATTCTGACAAGTTGGCTGTTTTGGAATTGATTCAGCAACTGTACAGCAGCCAGATTGTGTCCATTAGGAGAAAGTGTAGGAGATTAAAGTTACACCCAAGCATTATGCCCCCCCCAAAAGCCTCCCTATACAAAAGAATGTAAATGTGTTGTTGGCTGTATAAGAAAGTCATACGCTACATAAATGGCATGTTGCCACAACCAATATTTTTGGTTAAATGTAAACTGACCTTTTAAGGGCTTTTAAGGCATCCAAAGTTTGGGTACCGAAGTTTGTCATTTCATGGGTGTGTGCAATTTTAAGGCTTGATATGTTTATCTTTTACATGGCACACCCTTGCTTATAGTTTCCAAAAAATCTGGTATATTGTAATATATGCTTCATAAACCCCTGTTCTAACATCGTGTGACAAAGTTTGAACTACCACCAATTTATTTTTCATGGGATCGGTTTTTCCATAATACGCTTGGAGGTTTAGTACGAACATTATTTTTTAAAAGCATATCTGGTCAAAATTTTAAAATCATTCTGTTCCATGCTGTATTTAATTTGTTGTTTTTTTTTTTTTTTCCTAGCCTACACTTATTTATCTGCATGATCTTGCAGTTTGTAAACTTTGTGAAGATCTTTGTGAGGAATTGGGTGTTTAATAGGTATTCGAGTTCCAGAAAATATTGGTCATGGAGATGATGGAATTCAAACATCTTTCAACCAAGATTGACACTTTTCCTATTGAATCTAATTAAAATGTGTGAATCCTGGGTGAAGGATATTTAGAAAGACCCTATGTATACACTCTACATATGATCCTGAAAGTTGGTAAGAGTTGGGTCTTGTTCACATGGGTGTACCAAACTGTACACTCAAGGGCCCTCTTCATCCACACTGGATGCACAGATGTTAATGAGGCTGCAGGCTGTTGAAATTGACAAGTGGCTGACTGCACAGATCTCCAGGTGCATCCTGGAGTGTACATCCGTATGGGTCCATTGCACAGAATAGTAAAACTGTGTTAAGATCTGTGCTTGGACCTGCACTGCTATACACTCTAGGGCAGCAATGGGCAAACTGCGGGCCGTATACGGCCCGGCGGACCTTTTAATCCGGCCCGCGGAGCTAGACTCCCGCTAGGCTCCTCTCACAGTCCGCCCTGAAGACCGGTGTAGCATGAAAATCTGTCTCCTATGAGGATCTGTTCCCCTCGACGTATCTGCGCATGTGCCGGAGATCGCCGATCGGCTGCTAATGCCTGAAACTAGCACATGCGCAGATACGTCGAGGGGGACAGATCCTCATAGGAGACAGATTTTCATGCTACACCGGAACGGCGCGGGAACACGGCGAGAGGAACGCGCGGAGCAAAGGTAAATGAATTGACACAGGGGGGACTTGGGGACTTAATATGGGGGAATGAATTACTATAGGGGGGGATTAATTACTATGCTTACTATGGGGGAATATTACTATACTTACTATGGATGACACATACACATCATTCATCTACTCTTGGTCCAGCCCCCGGGTCCAATATATGAACCCATTGCGGCCCTCAAGTCAAAAAGTTTGCCCACCCCTGCTCTAGGGTGCTGTTGGAGATCTGTGCAACCTGGCTGCATGTCATTGATTTAAATACTGTTGACAAAAGGCTGCACAGAACTGTCCAGTGTGGATGAAGACTGTTCTGAGTGTACAGATCGGTACATCTGTATGGATGAGGCCATGCTGAGTGGCTTGTACTTCTAAAACAAAAGCTCCAATTATTTTGGGTTTCCATATCAGAATGGAGAAATAAGATGCATTCACTAATGTGCTGTGCTGTGCTTTTGTTGTTTTTGCCAGTTGCCAAGAATGGTGATGTCTGTATATCCATCCTCCATGAGCCAGGTGAAGATAAATTTGGGTATGAAAAACCAGAGGAGCGATGGCTGCCTATACACACAGTGGAAACCATCATGATCAGTGTTATTTCTATGCTTGCTGACCCAAACAGTGATTCTCCTGCCAATGTAGATGCTGCAGTAAGTGTCTATCTTCAGCTTATGAAGTCCACTGCCACCTTTTTACTGTGAGGATGAACAATAAAGATACTTTTGAAAACTTGCTAATTTTGGGAATGGCATAGCTAGTTTAGGACAATTTTGAAGTTTTCATTGGTCATCCAAGGATCCTTGATAGATGAGCAGTGAATGGTCTCCAGAATGGCAGAGCAAGTCTCGCTAAATGTGGCTGAGGCTTCATTCACATGGGCATACTTGAGCATATCTCTGTGTGAGGGCTGTTTGTGAGTGCACACTGCTACGTTCTGGGACCTGAACCCACACAGCCATCAAATTGGGAGCAGTGGTTGTCTGTGTAGCTGCAGTGTCCATATTGACATGAATGGGACTGCCTGCGCAGAGATTCATGAACACCTGTGCATTCCAATGTGGGCAATCATGACACTCAAACGGGCTTATGCTTAAGTACACCCGTGTGAATGAAGCTTTACTATTAGCTGAACTGTATGGTGTTTGAAAGTATATCTAAACCCAAATACCCATATTGCAGCCTACAGTCCTTAGATGTGGTGATTGCATTAGTGGTTTGGTTTTGCTTTTTTTTCCTGGTAATCCTGGCTTTACATACAATTTAGCAGTCTTTTGTGGGGGATTAGCATTTTGGATGCTCATTGTGTATAATTTGATTATAGTCTGATTCTAGAATAACTAGGCGGGGTGCTGGGCAAAAACAACTTTGGTTTGTATAGTTTCTGAAGCAGTTAATGTGACATTTTAACACACATTTACTGTAGATTAAGAAGTCACTAATTTAAAACACATGCACCCTTGAAAATGGGTGGCTAAACACATTCAACAAAAATGCTGGCATCTTCCTCTGCCCTAAACTAGAGTATAGCAGCGCAGAGCCACTCACATCTGTGGGAGGCTGTACACTATAGCTGAGCTGCCTGGGTGGGGAAGGACTCCAGCATTTTATGCTAAATGAACTCAGCTGCCCATGTCCAAGGACCCTAAAATGAAATGTGAAAACCTAAACCTTTTGAAGAATTCCCCAACTAACTTTTTAATGTATAACCCTACATATACATTTCTAAACACTCATCTTTTCCAAACAATCCCAAATCTGCAAATTTTGCCCCATTTTTAAGATAAAACTAGGATACTTTAAGCGTATTTCTTGCACGAAATGTAAAGGGAAATCGACTTTTTGCTAGTAAAAGTGAATTTCTGATCTTAAGTTTTTTTTTTTTTCTAAAGGGAATGTCCATAAAATCCTACAAAGTTGTTAGATTAAAAAGGCACAAGTCAATCTAGTTCAACAAACAGAAAAAATACATGAAGATAAACAACTATATGCATAATCCCATACCTACAGTTGATCTGAGTCTTTCTGGCAAGACTTCTCTGGACTGTAGATTGGTGTACCTGGGTCCCACTGATTTCCACCAGTTTTGTGCTGATGGCTCTGCTGGACATATTCTAATATCAAAGGGAAGCAAGCATGATGCCTTTCATCTGCTGCATTGTTTCCATGGCCGACCACTATGTCTGCAGTACTCAGTGATGCCCATTTCTTTGTGCTTCAGAAGTGCTTGAATGCCCTTTTTCTTATAGCTTCTGTAAAGCTGGCCATACACTATACAATTTTCTTGTACAATTTTCCTTTAGATTTACCAACACCATATGATATGAGGTCAAACCTAAACGCTTTCAATTTCTATGAAATCAGGCAGGCCCTTGCACTACATATTTGAACTTTAAATCTAAAGGAAATTGAACAAGAAAATTGTATAATGTATGGCCTGCTTAACGTTGGATGTGAGCCATTATTTTTAGCTTTTTAAACTTCTTTCCTGTTGAAATACACTGCTCAAAAAAATTAAACACTTTGAAAACACATCAGATCTCAATTTAATGCTGGATATCTATACTGATATGGACTGGGTAATGTGTTAGGAACGTAAGGATGCCCCATCGTTTGTTTTGTGTTTTTTTTTTTTTTTTTTTTTTTTTTTTTTTTTTTTTTTTTTTTTTTTTTTTTTTGGGGTGTCTTTCAGTTGTCTTCTGTAGGTTGACAATTTTCATTGTCATCAAAGTGAAAAAATGTAGCAGGCTAGTCCATTTTGCTGAAATTTCATTGCAGCAACTAAAAATGGTAGTGAGTAGGTTGTTTGAATCCCATGTGCTTGTATGCATGCCGGACAACGTCGCAGCATGTTCCTAATGAGACGAAAGATGGTGTCCTGGGGTATTTCTTACCAGATCTGGACCAGGGCACCACTGAGCTCCTGGGCAGTCTGATGTGCAACCTGGTGGCGTCGGATGGACCGAAACTTATCCCAGAGGTGTTCTATTGGATTTAGGTCAGGTGAGCGTGGGGGCCATTCAGTGGTGTCAATGCCTTCATCCTCCAGGAACTGCCTGCATACTTTCACCACGAGGCCAGGCATTGTTGTGCACCATGGGGAACAAAGGACCCACTGCACCAGCGTAGGGTCTGACAATGGGTCCAAGGATTTTGTTGCAATACCGAATGGCAGTCAGAGTGCCATTGTTTAGCCTGCAGAGGTCTGTGTCCCTCCATGGATATGCCTCCCCAGACCATCACTGACCCACCACCAAAACGGTCATGCTGAACAATGATACAGGCAGCATAACATTCTCCACGGCGTCTTCAGACCCTTTCATGTCTGTTACATGTGCTCAGGGTGAACCTTCTCTCATCTGTGAAAAGCGCAGGGCGCCAGTGCCGGAACCTACCAATTCTGGTGTTTAATGGCAAATGCCAATTGAGCTCTATGGTGCCAGGCAGGGAGCACAGGGCCCGCTAGAGGATGTCTGTTTCTGATTGGTCATTTTGTAGGGCTCTGGCAGTGCTCATCCTGTTCCTCCTTGCACAAAGGAGCAGATACCGGTCCTGCTGATGGGTTAAGGATCTTCTACGGCCCTGTCCAGCTCTCCTAGAGTAACTGCCTGTCTCCTGGAATCTCCTCCATGCTCGAGACTGTGCTGGGAGATGCAACAAATTTTCTGACAATGACATGTATTGATGTGCCATCCTGGAGGAGTTGGACTGCCTGTGCAACCTCTGTAGGGTCCAGGCATGGCCTCATGCTACCAGTAGTGACACTGACACTAGCCAAATGCAAAACTAGTGAAAAAGTCAGAAGAGATGAGTAGGGAAAAAATGTTAGTGACCTCCACCTGTAAAACCATTTCTGTTTTGGGGGTAGTCTCATTGTTGCCCATCTAGTCCATCTGTTCAGCTTCAGCTGCTTTGGTATTAATGAAGTTAACAACCCCCTCTGCAACTTTACTGACCAGATCAATATCCCAGGAGTTTATTTGACTTGATGCTATACTCTGATTAAAAAGTGTGGCATTAAATGTTTTTTTTTTTTTTTTTTTTTTTTTTGTTTGTTTTTTTTTTTTAGCAGTGTATAATTAGCAGTTTTTGCACAGTTTATTTGACACGTTGCTGTTTCTGCTCTGCTGCCTTCGGTAAGAATAACTTCTCCCAGTTGAAGTCTGCAGTCAATAATCACTGTTCTTAATAAATACAGAAATTGTTTTTTGTTGGGGGGGGTTTCCCCCCTACCTTAACTTTCATCTTGTATAGATCATTAATTTGGCAGAGTGATCACAAAACAGCCTATGGATAGAGCTGTAGTACTGAAAACAGAAGTGTATTCTGAAGGAGATTGTACAGATCTACTATAAACTATGTAGAGCAAGGGCCTGCTAGATTGGATACAGAGCAAATGGGCAGATAGGTGGGCCCTCCTATTCCATAGTTCTGGAAAATCTTAAGGAAATTGTACAGAGATTGCACAATCAGATTGCATAGCGTATGGCCATCTTTATACAAGTACATAGGAGGGAGGGGTTTGGAGCGTTTATGCTTGATTGGGCTGCCCCACACAACAATCGCCCAAATAAGCTCCAGCAATGGGCTGTGCTACATGTGGCTCATGGGACATTTTGGTGTTGTGTGTTTTTTTGCTGCACGCTTTGCTGCATTTTGTCACTCATTTTTTTTCCACATGACAAAATGTGTGCTCATTTATGTTTGGTGTGCAGTTAACAAGTAATGGCACCAAAAGCACAACAAGTTAATTTTAGGTGTATAAAGGTGGCCATACACTAAAATCTGATTGTACAATCTGTATGATCTCCATTTTTTAGATTTACCAAAACTATATAATGGGAGGAGACGCCATCTATCCAATCATTCTGTAGCCAATCAGGCAGGCCCTTGCACAACATAGTTGATTGTAGATCTAAAGAAGATTGTACAATCAGATTGTATAGTGTATGGTGAGCTTTACAGAACTCAGAACACACTTCTGTTTTAATTACTACAGCTCTATCCACATAGGCTGTCATCTGATCGCTCAGCACACTCTCATCTTGCATAGATTGTTCATTTGGCAGTTGAGGTATAAAAAAAGATGCCTGTGTATTTAGTAAGAACAGTGATCACTGATTGCATTTCATTTATAAAAGTGCACCTGGAAGTGAGTAGTAGGTAGGAGGGTAGATGATGCCGGGTGTGTGCGAAGGTCATCTCCTATATTGTGATCTCTAACTTGCAGGGCATTGTTTCCTCTTGTACCAAATTGTATTGTAACTGTAATGTCTGCCTTCATTTTGTAAAGTGCTGCGCTAACTGTTGGTGCTATATAAATCCTGTATAATAATCTGGTCAACTCCTTCCTGTGTCATGACCCTAAACCTAAAGTCTGTCCAAGAAGTAATGGAGAAGTGTTTTTGTTTTTGGGGTTTTTTTTTGTTTTTTTTTTATACAGCCATGTGGACACTGGAGGGGAAGGGTGTGTAGAATAAATGGAAAGCTTTTTTTTTTTTTTTTTTGGAAAGCCTTTTAATTACTGCAATAATACACACTGTAACTGCTATATTGATACATAAGGGAGCTGGAATTGAGGTGAAAAAAGTGAACCAAGTTGAACTTGGCCTTTACTTTCCTACATGCAGCCCCCCCCCCCCCCCCCCCCGTATAATTACCTGGAGCCCAATCTCAATTCAGTGTTGTGCGTTCTCTCCTCACTGGATAGAGGCAGCAGTGGGAGGTATTGGCTCCTGCTGCTGTCAGTCAGACCCAGAGAGCAGGGGGTGGGGCTGAGCCGCACTATCAGTGGGGTACTTCACCGGGGCAAGAGTCAGAAGTTGTAGGGGACCCAGGAAGAGGATCTGGGCTGCTCTGTGCAATACTATTGCTCAGAGCAGTTAAGTATGACATGTAAAAAAAAAAAAAAAAAACTAGGTTTACAATCGCTTGAACACTTGGATGGCTTGCAGCAACAAACTAACTTTGAATACACCCATATGCAGCTTTACCCATAATGTTTCAGCACCATCATACAAGGTCATCTTTAACACTGAGATCACGTCTCACCTAGATGAATAGGCTGTCTGTTAAACCTGCATCTTCTCTTGCTTTTCAGAAAGAGTGGCGGGAAGACCCAAATGGTGAATTCAGGAGGAAAGTTGCTCGCTGTGTTAGAAAAAGTCAAGAAATGGCATTTGACTGATTTAGTAAGTCTACATATTTTGAATTCTGGTAAAGCCTATCTGAAACTTAAGTGGAAAGTACACAAACCTTTTTAATGGTGAGCCAAACACTTGTACTAAGTCTGTATAGTCCTACTATTGCTCCGCAGCTCTGGCTGAAAATTCAAGGAATAGTCAGGCTGAATGGAAAGATGCATCTGTTTCATTACAGCTGTCACTGTGCAGTGCTTCTATGCCTTTTTTTTTTTTTTTTTCCTTTTTTTTTTTTAGCATTTTTAAAGGCGAACTCAACTATTTTTTGCACCATATTATGTACATAGGATGTAACATGGCACCATTATGTGCATTTATTTTCTAAAGGTGATTTGTCTTTTAAACTTAGACATTTCATGGGCCTGAGTCTTTAGGGTCCCGCAACTTGGAAAATTTCTAAAATTTGCACCCTATACAGTTACTCTGCATTGGTTACCTTCCCCAACAGATATACTTTAAATAGTGGATCTTCAATGTATATTAAGCCTTTTATTTTGTCAGATTGCTAACTTCTCTCTTCTTTCAGGGCATTACAAGAAGCCTGTCTACATTGGATGAGCAATAGCATTCACAGGCAGAAGCAGAGTCCTGCTCGCAGCGTGTGGCATCTCACTGACCTCTATTCTAGCCTCAAGTGGACAGTTTACTGTTTAATAAATTATAGGATAGACTTCTGTTTTAACTGCAAAACTGCAGACTGATCTTCAATCTTTATCAGGATCCTTATTTATTCAGATATATATTTTTGCATATGTCTTTTTATAAAGGTGAAATTGCTTTCTTTACTGCACTAACCCTTATATTAGGTAAATCTCCATCTGTCTCTAGCAGTACCATATCTGTTCACCACATGAAAAATAGGACTTATTTCATCTAGTGTTTCACATAGCAAAAAATAACATCACTGTGCACTGCTTGGCAAGGTCTAAACTGGCCAGAAATTGGAATGCTAGAATATTTTTTACATTTGCTGCTGCACATGAATTGGGCATTGCAGAGCCTGAATTCAGCAAGAATGAGCTATGGGCTGTAATTGGATATGTTGGTAGTTGCTTTATTTTTTAACCATGTTTACGCAGTAGAATTTTTTTTATTTTGTTTTTGTTTTGTGAAGCATTTACTTGGTTATAAAATTAAACTATTTTTGAGATGTTTTGATAAACTGCGTAATGTTTTTTAATTTTCAGGATTTGGTTTTCAAAGTGCAAAGCAGATTAAAAATTTGACTTAATACAAAACCTTTTCTTCTGTTTTGTGGCTGGAACCTTTGGGTTTTTGTTTACTGTCACCACTAAGGAAATCTCCCCTTTTTGTTTTTGTTGACCCACATAGGCAATGTACTTCCACAGCAGGCTCACATCAGCGCACTGCGGTTTAGCCACAGCACAAATGTATGTGTGGTTTTAGGTGCACTCTCATTGAGTTTTTAGACCGTGTGCTTTCATGAAAGTGCATAACTGCATGCCATCTCTTCTGTACGCTTTCACAAAACCCAAGCTCTAATACGTCAATGGTAATGCACCTAAAACTTGTTAGAACAGGCAAAAGGGAAGGATAGAGAATAGCAGTGTTACCTTATTGCAAGAAGTTAACTGCACAGGAGTGAGAAACCTGAAGACAAGTTTATTCATTATGACAATTTCTTCCAAACACTTGAATTTGGCAGATGAGTTACAAGAAGGGAAAAGATAGAGCCTTTGGATATGTGATCCCCTGATTAGGAAGGCAAATTGCTTTTAATTAGTAGATATATAGGATAAAGATTATCCCAGCTTGACTGCATGTACCAGGGAATAAACTAACAGAGGGTGAATGCCTTTCTGTTACAAAAGGTGCCTTACCGAGGTCCAGATTGCTACGCATGGTTGGGAGCTTTCCAATCGTGATGGATGTGACTGCCAATCATAGCAGTCACATGACCCTAAACCCTGCCCTCCCGACCGACATCCCAAACCCTTTAAAGGGCTGGGAAGTGTCAGCACCAAAAAGTTAATGACTTCTAAGTCCCATATAAACTTGCCCTGGCTGACAATTCAGTGCATGTAAGGGCAGAAAGTAATTTTCTCCATGCACCACCACTTGCCCCTGTTTTTTTTTTTTTTTTTTTTTTTTTGGTTTTTTTTTTTTGGGGGGGGGTTTTTGTGCAGTAAGTCCTGCGAGCAAGAATGCGAAGGTCATTGAAGGAGCAGCCTTTGTCCCACAGTGAACTTGGAGGCAGGAGCAGAGGGAGCTGCTTGTCACAAAGCTATGTGCATTAAAGGACAGAGTTGGCTAGAAGTGGGCACACGAGTGGCCACACAGCACACTAAAAGAGAAGAGCCACTACAAACAGGAAGATGGGGGAAGCAGTAATGGGGCTGGTGGAATAAGATAGTGTTGTTTTTTTTTTTTTTTTTTTTGGATGAGAAACGGCTTCTAATGTAAGTGAACCTGCTTTGCAAAAAATATATATAAAAAAAAATAATTTTAAGTATAAACTCGCCTTTATAGAAAAATGTAAAGGTGCACACTCCCAACCCCCCTGGTCCCTGCTGTACTTCAGGTGTTGCTGATCTGTCAGTGCTCAGTCCAGCATCTGGGTTTTTAAAGTCCCTGCTCTGCCCCATGTAGAGCTTCTGAGATGGACCATATTGATTCTGAATTTTCAGCACCTTGACAGTGAACATATTTGGTCTGTACCAGAAGCACTGCATCCTGGAGGTGAGTATAGAGGGGCTATGTCCTGTGTTCACATTTCACTTTTGTGTTTTTTTTTTTTTTTGTTTTTCTTTGTAGAGGTGAATGAACCATTTAATGTACAGAAGCCATTCTCCCTACAGTAGCTTTTATAGAAAAGCATGTATTTACATGGAGGTTGTTGGAGGAACCACTGAGCACTCTGGGGTTGGTTTCTTTTGTCAACCTTAAAGGAAAAGTTCACCTTTTGATAAAAAAAAGGGCATTTTGTCTGCTAGTAGGGGGGAGAGAAATTATACCCTGCTTGCTGTCAAAGCACAGAAAGGGGGGGTTCCAGTGCTTTCATATGTTTCACCCTATGAAAGGTAAACTTATCCTTTTAAAGGGAACCTGTGCTGTGGAAACTTGCCCCGAAGAAGACAGACAGCAAAGTACTTATCACCACTATTGTCTGCATCCTCCTTGCAGGGGAGCTCTTCCCTATCCCTGACTTGCTGTTCCTTGCTCTGCACTGATCTCTGGTTGGAGAAGACTATCTTGGGTAGAAAAGCAGAATTTTGCTTCCTCATGTCAGAGCTCCCCACCTGATGGGGGGCACGGCAGCAGTGCAATTGTCCTGCAAAAAGTAGGAACCATAGACTACGCTTGGGTCCACAAGACTATGCAGGGAGGTGCATACAATGCAGGAGATTCTTGCCCTGTAGCACCTTTTATGTACAGCTGCCTCTCCAGCAGAGAGGACAGTAATCACCTACAGTAGTGACATTGGCAGATATTACTTCTTTAATTGTAGTGATGCTGCAGAGCTTCAGATCTCACACTTCAGATATATAGCTATGAGGGTGGAGGTATAGTAGTGTCTAACTGCGGTGTGCCCTGGGCTTTTTTTTTTTAAAGACATTCAGGACAAAAAAAAATTGTAACTAGCATTGCTCTAGAAGATGGAAAACCTTCATCCTTTTTAAAAGTAGAACTGATATCAGAAAGTGAAGTGTGTATCACCAGATTCTCTATTTCCTTCTAATCCAAAGCTGGTCCACAGCTCATTTTGATCTCTGCCTGGAGGACAAAAGACATGAAGATAAATCTGGTCACTGTCATCACTGAGCTTCCAGGTATAAAAATAAGTGTACACCACTCATAGGTCCCAGGGCAAGGACTGGGATTTAAGCTTTTTTTTTTTTAAAACCACTACACAATTTGTCTTCAGTGAGATTTTTATGAAAATTGTCCCTCTGTTCCCCTCTCTACACACCCACCCACTCCCCACCACTTTTCTCCACATCAATTCTGTGCTACCACTTTCCAGTCCATACTGATACTGGGTTCTCCATATTCCATCCATTCATAATGAACACTGTGCACTTGTCTCCTCTCATCACAATAACACCCCCCCAACCTACAGTTAGGTTCATATATATTTGGACTCGGGTACTTACCAAAACATATAGAGTTGTATAATGGATGTGGGCTTCAAGTGCACACTCAGGTTTAATTTGAGGGTATGTACAGCCAAATTGGAAGAAGGGTTTAGGAATTACAGCTCTTAAAGAGTAGTCACTCCCCCAGTCCCCCCCCCCCCCCCCGGGGCCCAAATGTATGTTGATAATTTACTCAAAAAGCTGTTTCATGGCCAGGTGTGGGTTACATCTTTTTCTTCATCAAGCAGGTAAAAGGTCTGGAGAGTTCTAAGTTTGGTATTTGGTATTTGGAATCTATTGCTGTGAACCTACATCATGTGTTCAAAGGAGCTGTCTGTACAAGTGAAACAAGCAATTGTAAGGCTTAAAGACTAAACAAATCCATCGGAGAGATAGCAGCAACATTAGGAGTGGCCAAATCAACAGTTTGGTACATTCTGAGGAAAGTAGAATGCACTGGTGAACGCAGCAACATAAAAAGGCATGAACGTCCACAGAAGACAACAGTGGTGGATGATCGCAGGAGCCTCTCTATGGTAAAAAAACCTATTCACAACATCCAGACAAGTGAAGGACACTCTCCAGGAGGTGGGAGTATCATTATCAAAGTCTACAATCAAGAGAAGACTTCACAAGAGCAAATACATAGGGTTCACCACAAGGTGCTAACCATTCATAAGCCTGAAGAATAAAGCCAGATTAGACTTTGTCTAAAAAAACCAGACCAGTTCTGGCAAAGCATTCTTTGGATGAATGAAACTAAGATTAATCTGTACCAGAATGACGGGAAGAAAAAAGTGTGGAGAAGGCTTGGAGCAGCTCATGATCAAAAGCACACAACTTCATCTGTAAAACATGGTGGAGGCAGTGTGATGGCATGGGCATGCATG